ACTAATTACTGTAGCCTATTTCCTATTTACTCGCGCCAGTACCCAACTGGCGGTCTCACCATTCGAATGACCGACTCCTTCAGTCCGCGTACTGCTACAAATTTGGTCCAGGGCTCATATTGGGATCATCTAGGGAGTATATACAGACCATGCAAGGGCTGTGTAGGGGCTATACAGGGGTTGGATAAGGTCATATAGGGCCTAAGGGATGTCGGAAAATGAAGCGGAAAGAAGGAACATGGTTTCCCTTTTCATTTTCCATCTTCATTTTCCAGTTAATTCTCTTGTGTTTGGGTAATCCCGCTGTAAGCCTGTAGAACCCCTGTATACGCCTTAACCCTAAACGAACCTATATATGCAGTATCCTGTGAGCTACCTGAGGTCAGTCCACGTAGATGATTGTGGCTTCACGCCTGTGGACAAGGAAGATTATGAGGTGGGAGCTTCCAGGATTGGGTCCAAGAGAGGTTAGGGGTTTAGGGTCTCAGGGTTTCGGGGTTTAAGGTTTAGGGTTTAGGGTTTCGGGATTTGGGGTGTAGGGTTTAGTTTGGGGTCTAGGGATGTGTAAAGTAAAGCCACCTTACATAGCAGAGTCGTCCCTTTGCCCACCCAAACAGGCGAGCACAGCCACTGTTCAAGGCTGCCTCTACCCATGTGCCGCGTGCACCCTAAGGGCTGTGCACATCACTCTCCACAAGGAAGTAGGGTTTAGGGTTTAGGGTTTAGGGGGTGGTTCCTATATTGGAGATGATAGCTCTTCCTTGGGATATACAAGAGAGTCGCCCTTATTTGGAAACCCTCAGGTAATCCGACAGGTAACCTATGCCAAGAAGAAGCAAAAGGCCGGGAAACAGCTTCGGCATTGATGTCCTTCGCTTCTCTTGATTGCTTGTTAGGGGCTATTAGGGAATAAGAGAATATATTTCAGAAGGATTATATGGGGATTGCACAGGGAATGCATTCCCTTGTTTGTGGGGGTTTACGGTTCGGGGGGGGTTTCTCAAAGTGGGGTTACATGGGGAGGACGAGGGGATAATGGGGTCGCTGTTATAGACTTTATAGGGATACTTTGAGAAACTCCCATTTTCCAGCCTGCCCGGTCTGTGTGTCTCTGTGTGCACCACTTGAATGTGAGTTCCTTGGATGAGTTTTGCTGTTCTGCAGTCCATGGAACGGCTGCTGCGAAAGTTCTACAAGAAAGGACACCAAGAGCAACGATGGAGCAGCAGCTGGCATTGCTTGAAGTCATGTCCCAGCTTCCGCCTCATATACCTGCTAACATTAAATCTACCTTTAAGTCCCCCATGTAAGTATATACATATATATATACATATATACGTACACATATAGATCATATAGGAAGATAGGATAAATAGAAGAACATATGTATTGAATTGTGCGACATTGCCAGGAAGCTGGAAGAACGTGATAAGTCTGGGTGATGGGCCAGCCGAGCGTCAGGCTCTCCAAGAGAAGCTTGGAAGAATCCTAAATGTGTAGGGTTTAGGGTTTAGGGTTAAATTGGGGTTATATTGGGATAATGGAAAATATGATGGAACCCTATTTAGGGTATAGAGTTCGGGGATCTCTCTACATGGGCTATAGTCTACCCTCCTTAAAGGGGGGTAGATAGGGGATTATTTAGGGGAGTATTATAGGGGTTATTAGGGGGGATACTAGGAGTTTAGATAATAGGTAACATGGGAGTTCCCAAACAAGAGTCCACCTTAATACCACTGGAATACTTTTACCCTCATTATAGGGACCCCTTAAAAAAGGGATCCCAATTTTCACAACCCCGACATGGTCTTTGGTTCAGGGTTTGCGGTTTAGGAAGATTCCCAAGATAATCCTTACATGATCGCTAAGGCCGCTAAGGCAAACCTCCAAGAATCTCACCTTGGGTTCAGGTTATGGAGTGTAGGGTTTAGGGCGTAGTCCCTCTACATGGCTATGGTCCTACGGCATACCCCTACCTATGTTCAGAACCGCTCACATGAGCTTGCATTCAGTTGTTTGAGTACTCAGCGCAATAAGCATCAAGAATGGCATCATATGCCATGCAGCAGTAGATGATACCATAAGATACGGTGCAGAACTAACATTAGACGACAACCTGATATATGGTATGGAACAGTAGATGGTAACATCTGGTCTGTTGTAATTATCTGGTGTACAGCAGTAGATGATCACGAATGGGGCATGCCAATCCTCGGGCTAAGGATCGGCTTCCGCCATCTGAACCCTGCAAGTCCAAAGACTGGGCTCCATAAATCCTTCAGAACCAAGTCTGCCAGAGTCTTAGAGACATGACTGGAGTTTCTAGAACGATCGACTACTTGTTCTGATATGATATATATATATATAGATATGAGTAAGCAGTTGCCCTTTTGACATGTTGATCGCTATCAGGTCAAGATGTTGGAGGCTGGCGAGAAGTGGCGTTGACGTAGCTTCTATTCATAAGGGAATTTGGTAGCCCCAACCCCCAACAGCAGGACCCTAAGACTATTAGGATTATCGTAGGGCCCTCATTCTGCTGGTTGGGTCACCAAATCCGCCTGCTTGCAGTTGCTGTGAATCCTTGTCATTTTCAATTCTTTTTTGCGTTTGGTCGTCCATTTTAGGGGTTACCAAAATCCTTCTGAACCCTGTCTAACTCAGCTTCCATGTGATTTTCTGTTTCTTTTCCAGTCAATTCTCCAGTATGGTAACCTCCCCACAAAACATATAACCCCTATGTGATGACTATATACTCCTATTTCATACCTATATGGTAGTTTCCCAAAATTAGAGAACCCCCATATAGACCCCAACATGCCATAATCCTTATTGTCCGGACACCCAAAAAGGTACCTCTACTTTAGGGAAACCCCATATTCCTCATAAGGGGTCCCTTAACCCTGAACCCTCAACCCTTAACCCTAAACCTTTAACCCTAAACCCTTAACTGAAGGCTTAGGCCGCCAACCTACGATGGTGGGTGGCGCCTATGCCCCTTGCATACCTTGGGCAGACCGACCTAGCTGGACCCGCCTCAGCACAGCCACCCATTTGCCTGAACCTCCTCCCAGAACCTGAGAGGCCGCGTTCCGAGAGGCCTTCAGGCCCTTCCAGGGCCTCTTCATGCAGGGGCTTCCAAGAACCTAAGCCCCAGTTTAGGGGTCCCATAAGTGGTTCAAGGCTGGCGCATCCACAACCCAGCCACCCTCGTAAACCTCGCCTCCAGCCTCAACCTGTCTTGACAGAGTCAGACTTCAGGAGGGAGCTCAAGCCTTTTGGAAACCAGAAGCTTGGCTAAACCCTAATTGGAACAGGTTTGGTGGGTGGTTTGGCCGCCTGGGACGGCGTGGGGTGGGTGAATGTGTTAGATGGCCTTCCACAGTCAGAGTCAGGCCAAAGCAGCATGTCGCACAGCAAGACACGCTTGAAGCGACTCTGTGGCATGACTATCTCTGCTCCAGCGCTATATCACGGCAAGCCCTAAACCCTCAACCCCTAAATGGTCCCACGACCCTTCACTATTGTCAGGAGCCTTGCTGTTCCGAGCTCGTCGCAGAGCTCCAAATGTTGCAAGCCTGGTTGCCTCCTCGGGTTTAGGGTTAAGGGTTTAGGGTTTAGGTTTTAGGGTTCACGGGTTGGGGCCTAGGGTTGAGGGCCTGAGGGTTTAAGGTTTCGGATTTAGGCTCAAGTTGGAATATATAGGGTTTGGGGGGGGTTATGCCCTCAGGTTACGAGCTGACCCATCTGACCCCAAAGGATCTAAAAGTTTCATCCTCTAGAACCATAGAAGGAATGAGATGGGGTTACAAAGGGGTTGTGGCGGGGCTATCTTCCTACACTTACTGTTGTAGATAGCACTCGTGTTTGGCAACATACCTACCTAGGTTGCCTGCGTTGGCATCCTTGGATGAAGACATTGACATTGATCTTGGCGAAGGTCGGAAGTTGTGCTTGTAGAAGTGTGCTCAAGTGGTCCCACCGGTGAGGGTGAAGTTGACCCTTTTGCAGGTGAGGACGCGCTCGTGGACATGCATCAGCAATTGATGGAGTGTGTCAGTCCCCCAGCCCCCTGCGCATGACTACGCAGCGAGTCTTCAACAGCTGTTGATTGGAACATGTTGACGCCTTCCTGAAGGCCATGATCAGCTTTAGGCCAGCGGCCACGGAGGTATTCCAGTCTCAGGACTTAGGACCTTCTGAAACCCTGATGCCAGCCTTTCAAGCGGAAAGGGGGCTGGGGAGGCCCTCTAGGGCGCAGCACGCATCTGCGGTCGCTTGAAGGATGCTTCCCCTTGTTCTCCTGTGCTGATGGCTAGTGATTGCTGTAGCTAACGCTTCCTTGTGTGCAGTCATATCACTAATGCCTAGGTGGAGACTTGCTCCAGATCAAGCAGCCCAGACAGCTCCAAAAGGCATCAAAGACGTGAAAGGGTCAAATCAGCTGCTAGGATTGGCAGTCCGCTTCAGTGATGTGAACGTGATTTTCTGTCGCCAGTTGAGCCCTGCGCCCTTTGCTCTTCCCTACGCATAGCCGCGAAGTGAAGCCTCGGGACACAGCCACAGCTGTCACTGTGCATGTCGCTCCCAGCAGAGCAGAGAGCACGGGAGGACGAAACTGCAAGGTTTCGTTTTTGTGCATCTCGGTTCTTGCATCCTTGCAACTGCTTTGGCGGACCGGTGCCACGGTAGGGGTCTACGAACGTGGACGCTGCAGCCAGTGTCGTCAGATTCAAAGATTCTGAAGGCAGTGCGCAGTTTTCTGCCCGCAAATTCGCAGAAGGAGAATCGCCTATAGTTTTATTCTCCCACAGAGACCAGGTCCACACAGGTACACGTTGAAGTTGAAATCGTGTCGAAAAAGCTTGCACATGCCTACGCAGCTGCGACCAGAAAGGAGTAACAACTTTGAACAACATTTTCCTGTGGTGACATTAGTGCTTGTGGCCCGACGTTGTTCAAAGAGAAGTTTCATTGACCTTCCATCCTTCAATTTCTCCTTGGATGCTTGCAGGTGCTTAGAAAGAACAATCATCGGCCAGACTCAGAATCCCTACAAGCTGAAGCCTGTAGCCGATCGTGTGCCCCTGCAATGCTTTGGTCATGCCTGCTCATCTTGGCTCATAGATGTTTCGAACAGAACTTTGCTGCAAAAAAGATTCAATCACGACTAGTCTGGCCCAGGCTCATAGCTAGATGAAGTCATTTGGCTCATCCCTCTAGTCTACGTACTTACTTGCTTACTGGTCCTACTTGCTTGAGGGCTTAGCAAAGAAACCATCTGACGCATTCGGAAGAGAGTCGCTGTAGCGCAGTAAGGCAAGTCTCGCAACAAGCTGTGCAACTTTCTTCACGTTGAGTTTAGCATGAGCCGCTGCAGCAAGCTGGATGAAGTATGCGCAGTTTGTTATGGGACCGGCCGGCTGCGGCAAGTGCATCCCTAAGTTCTCCTGATACCACTGATTTTCGGTTCAACGGGCTTTCACGGCATACATTCGCTCTTTCCGCAGCATAGCTCCAAATCTTCAAACTTCCTCGCCAGGTCCACATACTGCGCGATAGTCCAGGAGCTGATGCACATCCCAAGCCTACATATTGGGATTCTATTGGGATTATATTGAGATTATATTGGGAGTATATTGGATTATATTGAGGTTATATTGGGGTTACAGTGAGATTATATTGGGATTATATTGGGGTTATAATACTGTGTTGTTCAACAGTACACGTTACGTTGCGCCCAATCGGCATGTGGCACATGGAGCGATGCCAGGAGCACTTCAAGGTTGCTATACGGCGGACTTGCAGGCCCCCAGTCAGCAACAGTTGGCCAATCATTATAGAGTATGAATATGGAAAACCCTAAATGATAGTTCCTAAAATACGGGGCCTACCTAATATGGACCCAGAAATATTATAGTACTTATTCTGGGGAGCCCAAAAAAAGTACCCCTAATTTCGGGAACCACCCAAATATTGCCCGTGGGGGCAGTACCCAATCGATACCATGGCCTGCTTGAAGTCCTTTGTTGCCTGCTGCAAAGGGTGGTCAACCTGGACCCTGCAGCAGAGAGCTTCGCCTACGACTGCTATGCTGATGTGCGCTCATGCCTTGTTGTTCTGCATACCGCACTATATTAGTATGTATGTATATATAAATATAGCTGCATATATAAAGGAGGGTATGCAAGTTTCACAGGGTTATACAGGATCATACAGAGTTTCTGGGGTCATAAAGGGCTTTACAGGTTTAGAGTGGGCAGAAATTGCAAAGGTGAAGCGCTGCCGGATAGTTGGCAGGTACGTGATCTGATCTCTGTAGATGACGTCATGGAGGCATTTCGCCTTTGACAATCTTTGCAAAGGAACACGATGTACGTGCCTGCGACTTCGACGACTCTGTCCATGACCCTAAATGCTAAATAGTAGTTTCCATTTTCTCTTCCATTATCCCGATATAACCCCAATATAACCCCAATATAACCCCAATATAATCCCAATATAATCCCAGTATAATCCCAAGATGTAGGTTTGGGATGCGCAAGGAGCTCGACTATGGTCCGAATGGCGGGCTCGTATATGCCATGGAGTACCTCTCTGAGAACATGTCATGGCTTGAGGCCCTTACATGGGATTATATTGGGATTATATTGGGGTTTAGGGTTTAGGGTTTGTTTCCCAAAATAGGGGAACCCCAATATAGACCCCAATATACTATAGTCCTTATTATGGGAACCCTCAAAATGGTACCCCTTATTTTGGGAAATCCCCATATTGGGATTATATTGGGGTTATGTTGGGGTTATATTGGGGTTATATCGGGATTATATTGGGGTGAGGTTATATTGGGATTAAATTGAGATTATCTTGGGAATATCTTGGGGTTATGCCAGGCCATTTGGAAAAGTTCGTCCACGGCATGACGCCATGGGATCAGAACAGAGGTCCCGAATTGTTGATGTTTCTTTCTGCCCCTTGCAGGAACAGGTGTCCGATGCTGTGGATGATGACTACTATGTCTTCGATTGCCCAGGGTTTTGCCCTCAGATTTGTCACTCTTAAAGTGTGCAGCCGTCATGGGAGATAAAGCTACCCCGAAGTAGTTAGGTGCTTGTGTGGCGCAATTCAAGATTTGCAGCTGTCGCACATGACGCGACTATCACATGTGAGGCAAATCGAGCTGTACTCGCACTTGTCGGTGATGCGGGAAATCGTGGACATGCTGCAAAACGAGGCTGACCGAAACGCCTGTGCGGAAGCATGCTCTCTTTTTTGTCGTGCAGGACTTCAGAGTCGCCGGTGTGTACTGCATCGATGTCAACTTCATTGAGGCTCGGTACGCTAGTGACGCTAGTTTTTCGACAGCACGCTGTCTTCCGGACACCTTGGAGGACACCGCCAAGTTCCTCTCAGGGGTCCAAGCCCAAGTAAATGTTCTACGATTTGCAGTCTCGCTCATACCTCCCGTGTTCTTGGCATGCTGGTCGTCCCTGTCGCAGGCTTTGTCCGCACTGACTGCGATGGTCAACTTGGAGCTGCCTTTCGCTTAGCAACGATCCTGGGATATCCTGGCAGTCATTTCAAGGAGCCAGGCACCATTGTGGACTCTCATTCCAGGCCCCACATCAATGTGCTGACGAAGTGCGATCTTCTTCCCGAAGGAGTTCAGATCCTGGCTTCTGGCATGCTTTGTTAGTTTCCCGCACCGGTGAGATGGCCCTAGAATAGACTTGCGCCTCAGTGCTGGCATGGAAGCCATTGACCACGCAGTCAAGCGAGCAGCCCCTTTGCAGTTGGTTTCCAGCATTTTCCAATGAGGCAGATGTAGAGCGATACATTGAAGGTGACCCGGAGGCAGGACATGACCTTGATTGCTTGTTATTGACGTTAGCTCCATCAATGAATGAATCTGTATGTATGGCATTGCCTCCTTTCTGGAATTGGCTCTTAACGCAGGCCTGCGAATGCTCATTTATAAGAGAAGGAACCATGCACCTTGAAGCACCCCGAGTACACTACCAGCACTCACAAATGCAAGCTCCTGGCACTCCATCGTGTCCAATTCAGGCCATAGTTGCAGACCTTCGCACATCCATGCACCCCAGGCACAGATGGTAGTTTCCCAAAATAAGGGGAAAACCCAATAAAGCCCCCAATATACCATAGTCCTCATTCTGGGGACCCCCTCAAAATACCCCCAATTTTGGGAAACCACTAGATGCAACTCCTCAATCAAGGGCGCCATCGATCGACTCACCCTGTGAGGTATCGGAAGCTCAATGAAGCGCTGGGGCAGCTGTTGGAGGAGTACTCATTGGTACGCTCTTGACCTGATTACCTTCAAAGCAATAGCCATACTGCTTCGATGCAGTCCTGCGCAGTAGCCAGGTCAGCTTCGTGGCGCTAAACCGCGATGAAGAGGCTCCGTGACCTTGGTCAGTCACCATCCTGGAGAGTCCAAGGGCACGCTGATCCAGAGCAGGACTCCATCGAGCTGTGTCTGGCACATGTCAACCATTGCACCTGGGCTCTTAAATCGTGCAGCTGCGCTTTACTACTACACAGATAGAGCTCTTTGCTTTGAGCTTGTTGCTGAATGAACGCCATGTTGGTATTTAGGCATCCAGTACGGTGAAAATCTGGAGCCAGAAGGCTTGGCGGGCATTTGTGCTCTGATCTCCAGTGACACTATTCCTATTCCTATTATTATTACTATTACTCTTATTATTATTGTTATTATTGTTGCATTTATTTTCATGCTATCACTTGGGTCATTCCATGTCATGCCCCTTTGAAGTATCCGTCCTTGAAGAGGCCTTTTTGAGGGGTTACTATAAACCCTATCACCCATCCTGGTAACTGTTACTGTAGGGAGAACGACCCAAGCTATCACGTTCTTGGAGTGATGCGACTTTTTTCAGCAGGTAACTTCGATATGCCCGACGATGACATGGGCCACGACGACTAAAAAAAGATGCAGTAATAATAGCAATAGTGATATTAATACCAATGTTATTGCAAATATTTCTATCGTCACTATCCTTATCATGCTTCGTACTATGATGATGATAATTGGATATGTGAAGCCTGTGTGAGTCCAGACCCGCGTGTCCCCATGCCTATTTCGATTCAAATCGGCTTCAGCAAATTAGATCGCTTGTTGCATGAATTCAAATCCAACAACATGTGCCGTGATCTTTAAAACCAGCCGGCAAGCACAGCAGCACGCTCCAAAGCAACATGTTTGGGGTCATTTCCAGAACTGCAGTCTTTGCCAAGATGCCGATGCTTTTGCGAAGCCAAGCCTCACCAGCAGACACGAAAAGCTTTAAGTTCGCCTTTCCAATGATTCCCCCGCCATGTCGCGGGAGCTGGTCAGCAATGAGCATGCAACTTGTGCGGGCGCCCTTGGCCTCGTCGAAGACGAGCCGGCTTCTGGGCTGCAGGCAGCTGCCCTGCTTTTTTGGATACTCTTTTAGCCGGCTACAGGTACTACATTTGCGAGTGCGATCAGCACACCCCGCTCAGCGACATTCCGATTGCTGCTTGGCTGATGAGTTGAATTGTGGGATCGATGCCTTCTGCTGAAGGCGGTGTGAGCATCGCTACGCCTTGTTTACAGCAGGTCTTTACCTACAAGCACCAGCCCCAGCTCTTCGCTCTCTCTTTGCGCTGTGATTTCGCCTGGGTGGCGATGCCCTTGCTTCCATGAACTTCAGGTCATGCCTTTCAATACGTGCAACATGATCAAGATGCGCATGAAGGTCTGGAAAGTAGACCAGGGAAGACATGTTCATCAGACGACTTGTGAGGAACAGCGGCCTGGACTGAAAGTTTTCTCCTGAGTTAGTGCGCTGAGACAAGCCCAAGTGCTACAGTACTGCAGTTGTTGCTTCGAATGCCACAGCATGAGGCCGTGCGGGACGGTGACATAAGGCCAGCAGTAGTTCTGTTCTTGCGGTAGCTTCAGAGATGAAGTGCAACTTCCCACACAGGCTCCTGCACAAGGGCATTGAGCTTCGCGGAGCTTTTCCCGTGGAGCATTACCTCCAAAAGGCGACGCAAGAGAGGTGCACAGGGCTGCAGATATCTAACGAACATCACGTGGACCTGCATGGCCTGCATGTTGACACGCCCTGTATCTTTCACATTGCTTGGCCACTTGACCGATACTCCTTTGTAACGCTGCAGTGCCGTCATGGCAGACCACTCTGCAAAGGATCTTCATGTGAAGCCCTGGCAGTCCGGCCGAAATCCAATACTTGGTCCACAACCTCGGGGGAGACCGCAGCAAAACAGTCCTGTGCTTATCTCTGCATCATTCCATGTCATCCACAGCCAGAGCTGATTGCCAGCAGGCCAAAGATGTTGGTATGTATGTAGCACAGCAAGTGCCCACCCCCCGAGAGCTGCATGATTTGGCCGTGCTCTCAGATGGAAAGCCCTGCTGTGCAACGGCCTGACGAATGAATTGACCACAGTACTCTTGAAAAGGTGGAAAACATCTCAGATGCAATGCTTGCTGGGATAAAGCCCTTGCTGACTGACGACGGAACGGGCGCGACGTGCACCTTTCATGTTTAAGCGCACTTGAGCCAAAGGGTATGAAGAGTGACGCCTGTCGCAGCTGAAAGCATGGTTGCAAATCGCGAGGTACATGCTTCGCGGACCCGGATCTTCGAAACCTCTGGCTGTGCCTGCTCCTTAGGTTCACGAATGAGCTGTCCAGAGCTGCGCGAAGCAGGGCAAGTAAGTCCTGAACAACAATAAGAATTGTATTGTGATTACAAGATGCAGTTCCTGATGCCGCGCAATCGCTTCAGTTTTTTTTTTCATGTTCAATCCATGTGAGCTACAGTCTAAACTCCCAGTATCCCCTTTAATAACCCTATAGTAGTCCCCTATATTGTCCCCAACATGACCCCCTTTAAGGAGTCTAGACTATAGCTTCTGTAGCTCCTGTTCATGTGGGTGGTTGTCAAAATTATGGTCCCTTCTTGGGTACCCTAAATATTAGGTGCCGTATTATACTAGGGATCCAAAAAAGGGACCATAATTTTGACAACCACCCATGTTGCTTCAGGTTCAAGCCCAAAGATGAGGAAGCATACGCGCCGAACAATCCTCGAGGCTATCAGGCCAAGGACGGATGAGTGCAGTTACCAAGTGCTCTCCATAGGGGGCTTATTTGGTGTTATATAGGGTTTAGGGTAGCTATGGGGGTTTATACGGGATTATATGCATAGACTCAAGCAGGGCATTTCTGAAAGTACCTAAACATATATGGATTTCCCAAAAAATAAGTGGACCCAAATCTAGACCCCAGCGTTCCGAACGCTGAAGTTCTTCG